TGAAATATCAATTTTGTTGGTTTGCTTACAAGTACTAGAGTTGTTTTATTTGTTTCACCAGCAGACAGTTTCTTGTGCCAAAACACTTATAATCGCAATTGGAAAACCAAAGAAACACATTCTTTTGGAAGTTCGGGGATAGACCTCAGCCTTCCTGGCATCCCTGTCCTGCTCATGCAGACAGGGCACTTCCAGAGTGGGCCACTGAGAGAGTTGGCATACAACACTGTAATTTACACCATCTATCTCTTTCTGGTGCTTGAGCCTCTGGCAAATTGCATGTCTTTGTGTTGGATTAGTTTGGAATTTAATCATGGATTATTTTCCCTCCAATTAAATTATTTATATATTTGATTAACTGCTAGGAAGTCAGATTTCAATGAAACCACAAATAAACACATGCCCATTGAATTGCAGGCTGGCTTCTCTTGGGATCAGCCTGTCTGTTGAGTGTTTAGAATTCACTGTGTATTACTCTTCTTAGTTACCTAGGATTTTGATGAGCAAAGAAAGTATGCTTTTTGCACCCTAGAAATATGATACAGGGGGGGGCATCTGTCTGGCCTGATTCTCTCCCCTCATTTTTAATTCAGGCTCCTGATTTGTATTGCACGCTGCAGCCTTTCTTTGCTCTGTCACTGAAACATACCTCCTTTCAATTTCACTTCTTAGGCTTGTGAACGAACTTGACATAGAAAGCCAAGGGCTCTGTTAGCCCAAGAAGGAAACTTTGAAGTCTCTTGGTTCAGGGATGAGCAAACTCATCACCTACAAATCTGGCTCACTGCTTATTTGAATGCACAGCTGTGGACGGTTTTTACAGCTTTCAACAATTTTTAAAAAGTTAGACTATTTCATGACCCATGAAAATGTCAGTGTCTACAGATAAACAGCTACCTCTCTTCATTTACACATTGTCTGTGGCAGTGTCAGTCTTGAAACAAGAATTGGATAGCTGCAATGGAGACTTAACCCACAAAGCCTAAAATATTTTCTATCTAAATTTTTATGGAAAGTTTACCAAAACACCTGATCTGGTTCATCACCCTAATTTTAGACATATTGAAAAGCCCAGCTAGGTGAACTGACCTGTCCACGGGTACCCCACTTATCACATGTTGTCCGAGATGCCTCCTAATGCCCCTCCCCTCCCCTTTATACACCCCCTACTGTTCACTCTGTCATAAAAGTTGACCCTAAATGAACTTTCCATGAGCACTTCTGCAGAGGTTAAGCAAGTCCTTAAAGAAAAATAAAATAAATATTTAGGCCACGGTAACATAGGAAAGTTATGATTCCTCAGAATTTTAATTTTCACTTGAAATCTAGCTCCTAGAAATATTTTTTTTTTTTTTAAAGATTTATTTATTTTTGCATACAGAACTGGGATACAGGCCAGAGACTCAGGGGCAGTGAGAGGCTTCACCAGAGACAGAGTGGGGATCAGAACAGGCAGATCGATGAAGTACACTGCTGAGGGGAGCAGCGGGCTGGTCAGGAGAGCTCTGCCACACCATGTGGTCACCTCCGGGGCAGGCGGGAATCGAACTCATGAGGAAGCGGCTTTAGATTCTCAGTGCTGTGCTTTAACCTGCTGCGCCACCAGGGAGGGCCCACTCCTAGAAATATTTTAAGCACAAAATATGCATTGAATCACCTAAAAAGGCTGAAAGAGATCACTCTATTTTCTTTATGATAATTGATAGTGATCCTGAGTTCAACGTTTGGACCTAAAGGCAAGCAAAGTCTAGCTGGTCTTCCAGCCAAAACCATACAGTCTCATTTCAAGAAAAATAACTTGTGGCCTCAATCCAAGTTTGCACTCAAGAAAAGTTTTCACATATTACAAAAGCATATTAGAGAGAACTCAGGTCTCTCTAGACACGTGTAGGAGGCAGAATGGGAAAATTCCTAGGATACTGAACCTTTCAGAAATAGAGATGATTCTCACTATCTAGACAGGTTCCCCCACCCCAGCTGTAGGCAACACTGGGTGTGATGCTTGCTGATGAGCACAGGAATCCTGGCACTTGAATATTCAGACGTATTTCCAGAGGCCAAGGTTGATGAAGCTTAGCAAGGTATAAATATGAAATCATTCCGATTTTGCCAGTCACTGCTCTCCTCAGTTCTTCGTAGTCTTCCCTTCCACGCTAACGGTGATCTCACAGCCTCTGTAGGCAATTCCCAGTCACAGGCGGTCCCTACAAGCCTATCCAATTTAAACCTCAAACCCAGATCACTGGCAGTCTTCCCTCCCAACCAGCCAGGCACATGATCTGAAGAACCTAGGAGACTGTTTGCTCCTCCCCTGCGTCCCACCTGAAAGAGGAGACAGATTGCTTCCCTCTCCAGGAGTCTGGCTTCTCCAGTGTGTGGGAGGAGAGATGAGGCAAGAATCAAGACACCTAATTCACTGGCCACTGTCAAGGCCTCCCTGTTTAGTCATCCCCTTGCCCTAAGTAATGCCAGTTAGCGTCGCCACCCTCCTCCTCTCGGCAGGTGTCCAAGTCCCAGCTCTCTCATGGGGTGTATGTGTGTGAGTTCTGCCTGAGAGTGTAGCCCACAGCTCGCTGCTGCACACTGCACATAGGTAGGCCAAGCTCAGCTATTTCACTGGTCCATTTCAGGCCCGTGAGAATTCATACCTTAACTGCTCTAAGCTGGAGCAGTGCTAGGAGCCTCCTGTGTCTGCTGGCCCGTTGTCCCCACCACATGTGTTCCTCTAAGACACCAGGTTTTGGCCCTTCCCCACGTGCTTCTGTCTCATCGTCTGCAATGTTGTTCCTTTCTCCCCAACCCTCATGCCTAGCTGCACATCTGGCTGGCCCATGTCAGTCACTCTCCAGGTCTACTTTAAATCCTACTTCATTGGAGAAGCTGACCCTGCTTTGAGACTCCCTGTTGTTTTTGTAAAACCCTCTTTCCCTTTATAACACTGGTCACTACTGTAATTGTGTGGTAATTTAAATCATTATCCATTTCTCTCCAGTGAACTGTAATTTCCTTAGAGCAGGAATCAGCTCTGATTCCCCAGCAGAGGCCCACTACATCCTGTGAATACACAATGTAAAAAAGCCACAGTCAGTGCACTCCTCTGGCTCCACCCAGAAAAGCAGCGCTCCTCAATGGATAACTTTCAAACCCCTTTGAGTTCCTGGCAGTATAGTATTTTAAAGTATAAAATGTCTTATCTAAAATCTTCATGTAATCGTAAGTAGTTGAAAACAATATTCACCAAGGACCTGCTACATCCCAGGGGAACTTGTCAGTTGCTATGAAAGGAAAAGGGAAGATGTAGATCCCAGATTAAGGGAGGCGGCTGAGGCCACATTCTAATTCAGTTTTCCAGTTTGATCTTTTCCTCCCTTTTTCTTTTATGTATATTAATCCCAGGACTCAAGTTTTATTTCCAATAACTAGAAAACCTTCCAAGTTTTAAACTGAGAAAAATTTCTGATGCTGAAGCAAGATCAGTTTTTAATGAGTGGTTTTGTATGATCATTTCCTGTTTCCCTGGAAAGAATTCCTAGAACACCACTGTGTTATGTGGATTTTAAAGTTAAAGATTTGACTCTGTCCCCTGTGCAACCCAGGTATTCTCCCACATAGGTCTGTGCACCAGTATAACTTTTTAAGAACACTCACAGTTGGCTTTTTCATAGGAAACCCATGTCTGTTTGCCTTGGGGTTGCTGTCTGTGTGAACCTGAGTGATTCTCTGTGATTTCCTTATGTCCTGACTTCTGAAAGGATTCCTGTGAGCTGTGACCTAGTATTGGGATCTCTTTTGTTTATTCTGCTTTCTGACAACTGTTCAAGGGTAGGACAGTGAATAGTAATTGCTTTGCTCTGCTCTCATCCACTTTTAATCTCCAGACAGAAGCAAACTTCATTTTCCCCTAGCGTCGTTGGCCCCCTAGTGGACGAAGTGGGAAAAACAGGCTTTGAGGGCCCCAGATCTCACTCAGGAGCCAGGCCCATGCGGGAGACTGAAGGTTCTGACTCTGTGTGCAGCACACTGAGTCAAAGGGCATCTTCCTGTGATTTCTCAGAGTTTTTAGTGGTGTATTTATGTGTATGTTTAAGAAAGTAGTCTGAACACCCTGACATTAAGGCAAATAAAACGGGTAGCCAGAGAATAAAACCAACAGTATCAAACTGGGACACACATTTCTATAAAAATCTGTAATGTAATGGGATTCAACTTACTACAGTCAACTTAAATTTGGTCCAAATGAAGAACTACATTTTCATCTGGTGCTATCGTCGGTTTCTATGTCTCCCAATTACAGGATACTGGATCTATGAATCCAGGAAACTATGTGAAAGGGATTCTCTGAACTAAACAATTTCAGAACATTTGTCTTCATTTTAAAAAGCAAATTCATAAAATTATGGCACTGGACAGAAACTTAGAAATGAATTAATTCACTCCTATTTCCCTCACATGAAGAGAGCGAAGACTGAGAGACTTCTACAGTCTTTGCTGTAGTTATTTCTCTCAGATTCATTCAAGAATTAATACCACTGATCGGAACTAAGGTTTAGTTAGCAATACTGCGTTGGCTACTGCTCCTTATTACAGAATTGTGTGTGTGCGTGTGTTCCTGCAATCTGAGCCAGGGTGGGAATCCACAGACCTAGAACACTGCTATGGGGGGTGGGAAGGAGTATCAGCCTTTATTTGACAGGTGAAATGCAATAGAGGCCCAGAAAGGAAAATCATCACTCTTTGGAGGCCCTGTACAGTCCTTTCTCTGGGGTGCCAGGCTTCCACCGAAGATCGTCACTTCTGCTAATTAGGAAGTATACAAACATGATAAGTACACAACTGTACTTGTGAGACATCCTAACTTGAGCAAAGTACATTATATTACAGGAAAGCTATCACATGATCTTTCAGGCTTCGGTTGGGGCATTTTTTACATTCCCTTCTGTTACCTTCAGAAATGAGTGATGCATTTGCATTTTATTTCACTTTCTTTTTGCAAACCTCAGCATATAAATAATGATCATATTCATGGAGAGAAGAAGGAGTTCGTGTGCCGGTGGCTGGATTGCTCAAGGGAGCAGAAGCCCTTCAAAGCCCAGTACATGCTGGTGGTGCACATGCGGAGACACACGGGAGAGAAGCCGCACAAATGCACTGTGAGTACTCTGTGGGCAGCCACAGCAGGCAAGACAGAGGCGTAGCCGGGTTTGCCTGGGGCCTTCTGCCAGGGAGGCTGACTGGGTAGGTGGAGAGCTGTCTGCCTGATGCCGAGGGAGGTGGGGGTGGGATTCTGCAGTGGAGGGAAAGCTTCTGCTGTAAGGCCACCAACCTCTGGAGAAAGAACGGGAGATGCTCGCCCTGGGGGAGATGGCAGAATTCTAGACCTACTTTCACCAGGCCGCCACCGTCACAGGTGCTTGTTGGGCATGTTTGAGATGTAGCTAGAGCCATCAAGGAATTGGTTTTTTAAGTAATTTAATTTGAAATAATTGCAGTTTAGACGTTAAGAGCCTCAACGTGGCTGGCAGTGGCGTTTCAGAATGGCAAGTGGGCAGGCTGGCCTGCTGCCTGGCCACTGTGCCCGCCGGGCATCATTCTTGCCAGAGAACTAGGAGGCCAGAGGGAAGGTCCAGTGTTGACTTGAAAAGCTTGAGTTTTCAAAAGATAAGACTTTCGAGTTTTAGGACTCTCAGGCTTTTCTGTGCTCTCCTAGCCTGTCTCCGAGGACCTGTGGGGCTGGGACTCCTTCAAAGCTAAGCCTTCTTTCGCTAAGGTGTCCACCAGGCGCCCTGGGCTCTGCTCAACCCTGGTACTTTACATATTAAAGGCCTTTTACAAACATGATCAAATTCCGTGCCTTTGTATGGACACAAAGCCATATTAATGAACTTTGTGCTGAATCTGAAATCAGTGGGAATTTGAGGAGATCAATGAGCAGATAATGAAATCCATTGTCCACATTGAGTGGTCTATTAAAAAAAAAACACTCAAGACTGACTAGCATTGAGAGTGCTTTCTCTGGAACAGCACTGAGCCCCATCTGAATCCCAGTAAATGCAGAGTTTAGCGGACTTTTGTTCCTCGGTTTTGAAAAGCTACTGACCCTCGAAACATCAGCCTTTTATCAACTTGGAGGGAGTGTTAGGCATGAGCTGTCAATTGTGTGAAGTAATCCAGATTTACCTGCTGTCCTCAGTTTGAAGGTTGCACAAAGGCCTACTCGAGACTAGAAAACTTGAAAACGCACTTGAGATCTCACACTGGAGAGAAACCGTACGTCTGTGAGCATGAAGGGTGCAACAAGGCATTCTCCAACGCCTCCGACCGTGCCAAGCACCAAAACAGAACACATTCCAATGAGGTGAGCCTCCCCCAGGCCAGACACAATGGATCAGAGCTCACGGGAGGATACGCAGCCCTGACGGGGCTTGTGCATGGAGAGGTGGGCCAGGCCCCTTGCGGTTCCTCTGACCTCTTCCACTGCAGGTCGTTTGTAGCGTCAGAGGCAGGGCTGGAAACTTGACCCTGTTGGAAAGGTAGTGCACATGAAGAAGGGACATTTTTTTTAAGTATTTATTTATGCTTGCAGAACTGGGGTACAGGCCAGAGGTGTGGTGGGTGAGAGGACTCACCAGAGACAGAGTGGGGAGCAGAACAGGCAGGCTGACAAAGTGCCCTGCTGAGGATAGCAGCGGGCAGATCAGAAGAGGTCTGCCACGCCATATGGGTCAGCTCCCTGGCTGGGTATTGAACTCCTGCTGCAGTAGCTTCAGAGAGCTTCAGAGTGTAGTGCTTTGGGGAGAGCCCAAAGAAGGGACTTCTTCAGTCCCCTGGCCAGTAAGTTTCGCATTGTTCAGAACTGCCACCTACTGGTCAAACAGGACTTGCATTTATGTCAGAGTTCCACCCACTAGCTCTGCCTGGAATGCCCTGGGTCCCTGCAAAGGATGACCCGGTAAGCACTGCTGCTCCAGTCAGAAGCGTCGTGTTGACAGCTGCAGACAGCTTACTGCTTAGACATACTTTTATTTGCTTTCTCCAGGTGGTATCTTCAGATACATTATATAATAGATAATATTGAAAAGCATTGCCCAGTCTAGGCTAGCTGTGATTTCCAGACATTCCAACTCCAAAAGATCTCGGAAGCTGTTCTCAGAACCCAGAGTGGTCTCTAGTCCCTTACTTAAAAATAATATGCTGAACAAAGCTTTCACAGTATAGTAGGTAGCTTCTGTTGTGTTGTGATTATTTTAAGCAATTACCCCCCTCAAATTCTAGAGAAATAGAACAATGAAAATGATTTCTGATTCATTGTTTAGAGTGCACAAGAGAACTAGAAGTTTTTTTTTGTTTGTTTGCTTTGTTTTTGTTTTTTAATCAGTAGTATTTTATTTTGCTGAGAAGCCTCTTTTTATTTAAGTACCATTGATTTATGGTACCATTGATAACACTGTATGTTGTCTAGGGGTACAGGTTTACACTTCTTCAAATGTATGATAACACTCCACACCCTTCACCAAATTACCAATAATCCTCCACCACCATCTCTTATACCCTCTCCACCTGTTTTCCCCACCCCCTGCCCCTCAGCAACTTACATTCTGCATTTGTACTTTGTTTCTTTATTTTCAAATACATTTTGCTTTCATTTTAATGCATGTCTGCCAGGAAACCTCCAACTTCTCCTTGAAGGTATAACTCAAGCTCACACTCCTCTGGAAAGCCTGCTTTTGAATGAATTAAGAAACTTACGGAAGGGCTCCCCGCCATTTGGACAGAAATAGGATAGCAAGCCGGAATGTGTTAACATGAGCTGTTGTCCCACAAACATGCTGTCAGTTTGCCTGCAGTGTGTCAGAGAAGCAGCATTTGACCTTGGCTTGGCTGTTATCTGACTTTCTCAAGTGCCAGTCAAGTCTAGTTCTGATCTTCCAGTTAGAGAGTTGGGGAGGACTTAGAAAATTTCTAGTTATTTGGAATCTTTTATTATTGAGCAACTGCTTGAGGAGATTTTATGAAAGATGCTGAATCTCCCTTTTTTATGTAACAAGTGCTTTTACTGTGTGCAGCACTTGACAGTGTGATGTGATATAGTTGTTTTGTACATTTTAGGAAATTGGAATAGGGCAATTCGTAGACACAGCGAAATAGGTTAGTGATGTAAGAGGCATCAGGGAGTGGGAATAGGGTGACTTTCCCCACTGAGAAACTTACTTAAATTATTAACATCTATCTTAATCACTAAATAAGATTTTGTCCATAAACATGTAAATATTTTTTTCTTTACTCTATGTACAAGGCCTTGGCTTTGCATTTAAATGATAGGCAGTTGCAGATATACTAAAACTAGCTTTGTTCAGGCAATCTAGATTTGTTTAATCAGACTAGCCTACATAAGTCCAGGTGTTTTCTCTCTTATTTACATCTTCATTCACTAAGCAAATGTTTGTAGCTACTTGGGTGTCAGACATTTTGCTGTTTTAGGTGCAGAAAATAATATGATAGAACAAAACAAGGAGTAATTTCTCGTGGGAGCAGCCCAGATGATCCTCCTCCCTGACCCTCAAAACTCCACCCGAGCCGTAGCTGTGGCTTCTTATGGGACTCCCTACTCCAGACCACACAGTCCCTGTTCCTCCCAGTACTATGCTAAGCAAGTTTCCATAAGCTGTGGTCAGGTTGTATCTCCTTTTCCAGAAAGTTCCAGTGACTCCCTGCTTTCCTAGAGGAAATTCCTTAGGCTTGTTCTATCACCTGATCCAAACCTGCTCTTCTAGTCTTTACTTCTTGCTGTGGTCAACCTGAAAGGAACATTCTGGATAGCCTGTGCTTTGAGTTATTCCACATGCATGAAGTGGCCTCACTTTGCGCAGGACACTTCTTTTTGGCATTCTTCTTGCCCTCATTTTTATCCCACAGAAGCTTACTTACCCTTCTTTCTAAACCCAGCTATACTATTTATTGTCTTCTAATCAAAGTTGTGTTTATTAAGCACTTAACTGTGTGCAGCATATCATTGTGAGTACCTCATGTACCTCATCTTATTTAACCCCTGCCCTGACCTATGATCTGGGATCTGGGAATTAGATAAGAAACTTAATAACAGCTGCCTCCATGGTCATTCAGCTGAAAAATGATTCCTATCTGTCCACTTCCTTCTGAAATACTTGCTTGAGCTTTGAATTGTAGGTAATCACATGTTGTTATGTGTTTTTCCTAGTACATTTTATAGTCCTTGAGATCAAACTCAGTTTTTTAAAATATCAAATTCAGAGTCTAGCATATAGTGGGGACCACTGACCGTTTATCTGGTAATTTGAAAATTTTATCTAAATAAATACTACAAACTCAAGCAGAAAAATTATCAGTTGTTTTCACAAAGTACCTTTCAGGTCAGTGAGAATCACCAAACAAATGATCAGGTTCAAAATTGGATATCCAGAAAAAGTGGCTGATTCAGCAAGTCTGACAGCATGCATCTTCACCTATAACCGTATGTCATTTTAGTATGGATCATAACAAAATTTGGGGGCCCAGTTATATGATCGGGTGACTAAGTTTTGTTATAAGGCCTACATCCTGAACGTGTATTCTTTTTTTTTTTTTTTTAAGATTTATTTATTTATTCATATGGAACTGGGGTACAGGCCAGAGTTGTGGATGGTGAGAGGATTCACCAGAGACAGAGAAGGGAACAGAACCGGCAGAGTGACAAAGTACACTGCTGAGGGGAGCAGTGGGTGGGTCAGGAGAGGTCTGCCACGCCATGTGGTCTCCTCCGGGGCAGGCGGGAATCGAACTCATGCGGAAGTGGCTTTAGCTTCTCAGTGCTGTGCTTTAGCCCACTGCGCCACCAGGGAGGGCCCTGAACGTGTATTCTTAAGAGGATTTGTAGGTGGATAATATATAGCAGGTCCTCAAATATTGTGATTAATTGTGCTCTGTTTCCTTATAATGTTGCTGAGTCAGACTTTGTTATTTAAAGTCCTGCTTTCATTATACATGTTGTTTCACCTAAAGTTCCAAGAGCCTGACAAACGTGTGAAATGGAGTCTATCTGTACATGTTCACACATGAGGGCATGTGACTGGGCTGCTATCTGGGAAAGTGGGCTCAGGTGAACTGTGGTAGACTCATCCAGGACCACACAATATACATATGCACACTTACTGGCCTGACTTTGTGTTCCTTCCACCTCCCACCCTGCACACCTCCTCCTTACATCCCAGGCTGCGTGCTGATGGAACAGCCTGTCAGAGCAGTGCAGTGAGCAAGCGAACACTCCAGGGTAATAGCACTAATCAGCAGAGCCATTCTTCTGGCCCTAATGCACAGAATAGGATTCAATGTGCTCATTGCAGTCCATATATATATATATATATACTTGCAAATCACAGGAGCTCCTGAATAGTAGTCATTTATAGTTAATGGGGAATGAATTCCTCCCAAAATAATCTCACATTTGGAGGTGAAGTCTCTCAGGATAATATTTAAATCTCTGCTTAAATACATTAAAATACGTCATAGCTTTAGGCTTTAGGTAGTGCTGTTTTGTTTTTGTACTTTTAGTGAAAAAACATCTTTGAGACACATGTAGTCTATCAGATAGGTCATGTCTTGTGACATAATGTCAGTAATACCTTTTATGACTATTGCTTCCCTACCAGTTCATCTTTTGGTATATTGGTTATATAAGTATATACTCATAAAAGCATCCATAACTATATTTATTTCAAGCCATATAAAAAACAAAGTCACAATTCTGATGGCTGTCTGTGATTTGAGTCAATATTTAGCTGTAAGTGTCTGTGTAACTTTTTATGACTCTCTGTAGGGCTGGTCACCGATCCACATAGACATGAAACTAGCATGAAATAATTGATAGCATCCAGGAGTAGAGCCCTCCCAGAAGCCTGTGCGGCACACCATCCCCAGACCTTTCTAGTTTGCAAGTGATGAACAATCTAACAGTGCTTGATGGCTTTGAAGGTCAGGAAGGTTCCGAGTACCTTCAACCCTGGACATCATGATCATAATGCTATGCACTCTAGTGAATCTAACCCAGAGCCTGTTGGCAATTTAAAAAAAAAAAAAAATTGCCCATTTGAAAATCTCATTGTCAAAGGTGTAGAGGAATACTACATTGAGAACTATTGAGAACTAGGTCAGCCATAAGAAATTTCTTCACATAAGCTCTCCTGAAAGGTGTAAAGTAGTTTCTGATTAGCTGGTATGTGTCTTTTCAGCCTTCTTAGATCATCATTGTCACTTCCTTCATCACCATCATTATACTCATCAAATATTTATTGAGCACCTGTAGTGCAACCATAGTTCTCCTCACTCCCAAAGTAAATGTTTCTAAGAATATGAAGGCAATTTACATTTTCTGAGATACTCCAAGCTCCAAAATAATCATCTATGAAAGCTAGATTTTAAGGATCCTGTACAAGGTTTAAATTGCCTTTGTTAAATCTGTACCTAGACATACTTAGACATCTCAGACTTTCTGAAAGTACCTTGGAAGAGTTAGACTATAATGAGCAGTCACAAAGCACTATTGGACAGGGCCGTAATCAGTTTCATCACACTCTGTTGTTTCCCTCTCGTGGTGCTGAACAGAAACCATACGTGTGCAAGATCCCAGGCTGCACCAAACGCTACACGGACCCAAGCTCCCTCCGGAAACACGTAAAGACAGTGCATGGTCCAGAGGCTCACGTCACCAAGAAGCAGCGTGGGGACATACATCCTCGGCCCCCACCACCTCGGGATTCTGGCAGCCATTCACAGTCCAGATCCCCTGGCCGGCAGACTCAGGGAGCCCTTGGTGAGCAGAAGGACCTCAGCAAGACTACCTCAAAGCGCGAGGAATGCCTTCAGGTGAAAGCGGTCAAGGCAGAGAAACCCATGGTATGTCATTCGCTTTCCTTCTGATCTACCCAGAGACATCGCAGCTTAATTAGGAGGGCTTGGTAGGGTATTTCAGGGCAGTAGACTGTCCCGCCCTCGCTGCCAGCTGTAAGGAGGCCATGAGCTCTCTGATCTTCGTGCTATATAGGATAGCCCAGTTCAGAAGCACTTCAGAGCTTCCTAACTGTCTTTTAAAATTGGTCTGCAGCCGTCCTTCCTTGTAGAAAGACATGGCTGCATTTTCAGCAGCCCTGACTTAAAAATCATTTCTATCTTCTTTGCCCTGATGCAGCCAAGATAAATCAGCCCAGTCTGTACTTTGGGGATTTACAGTTCAGTGGGACAGGCAGACCACCAAAAAGCAAGTACTTGCATCTCAATGTAAAGGATTCAAAATGCATTCAGAAGAGGAAGGAACCAAATCACTGGGAGGGTGCTGAGCAGGAGGGGCAGGTAGTTACTTCCACACTCAGGGTTCAGAAAAGGGAAGGAGCAGGTTCTGGCCTGGCCATGCAGGAACCAAGGGTTAGGGGGACATGCAGTGGTAAATGGAGGCGAAGACAAAAAGCATTGTGCTTTTACTCGCGATGGAGAATGACTCACATGCTGATCTTTTTGGAAAAGGCAACTTCAGTGTCAGCCTATTGATTGGCTTGATAGATTGGAAATTGTTTCTACAATTTCCTGACCCATGGAGAGCAAGGAAGCAATTTGAAAGACATCATAGGTGAAAATCTTTTTGGTTGAGCCACATACAAAGGATATGTGGATCATGTTATTGTTCAAACTTCAGTTGGTGATCTTGCTTTATGTATGTGCTATTACAAAACATGTAAAAATTTCCGAAGAACCAGAAAAATGCAAGAGTAGCTGGGAGGAGCATCCATAAATTCGTATTTGGCTATAAGATGATGGTGTCAGTTCTGCAGGACATGCTGGGTTCTAGTCTATTATTCTTCAGACTCTGGAGAAAATGTACTAGGTAGAGTCACATGTCCCTATGCATGGACAAGATCAGGCAGTTTTATACTGAGTTTAAGGAAGCAATTAAAATTCATCAAGTCCAGCAGTTGGATATACATCCTGTAAATTCCTGAATGAATTTCATGACTGATCCGCAGTATATAAGGGTAGAAAATATTGTACATAAAATTCAAGCATTGAAGACATGGGAAGCTACATTTTAATGAATTGCTGTGTTTGTCTTTGAACTATGAAGTGTCCACATTGATCTAACAAAAAATAATGCAAATAAGCTATCATTTTTTGAAGTGGGTGACTGTACTTTGCCTTCAAAAAACACCTTGGTAAAAAGTTGAAATATGTGTTAGGACTGGTTAAAATTAACCATTTCATAAACTGTGCTTTACATACTTTTTGTAGGAGCCCATTTCTGTTTCCTAAACTGAGTTCTACCTGTATAAATTTGTCCAGAATATCCAACAGTTTACTCTCAAGTATTGAATGAAAACAGAAAGATGACTGTGGGCACCTAGAATATGTCATTCAAAGATCATAATTTATATCATAGGACAACCTAAGAACCTTGTATCCTTATGTATATCCCTAGTACAAGGAAACTTGTCATTTTCTCTCTAGCTACCAATGATTTAAATAGAAACTTGGTAGAAATTAAGAATGATTAATGATTTGGCTCAGTGACATTGGAGATACCTAACATGAATTATTTTATAAAATAATGACATCATGGAAACATAGAGCTGGAAGAAATCATACAGATTTTACTGGTGAGGAAACTGAAGCTCAATAACCCATCAGTCCTCAGTAAATCATTGTTTGTATATGTATACACATAAATATAGGTAGGTATCGTCATAGATGTTTGCTAATGCATGTGACATTACATTTCTTATATTCTTTTTTAAAAAAAATCGTGTTTGATTTGATCATCATGCTATAAATTAAATTTTCTTCTTTTTTTCTTATTAATCCAATATCTCTTCTGTATAATGCTCCTAAATGTCTTGTTCTCACTTCCTAAGGACAGTGGGTAATAAGGTGAGGGAATTATGGTTTCTCTGTTCCTTTTATTTTGCTTTCATTTTAACATTTAACTTTTATTCATCTTTTCTTTAGTTTTTGTGCTGTGTGCTATCTTTGGTCGTGAACATTACTGAGCTATGTTTTAAACATAGAAGCAACGTGTTTTGAACATTCAGCATGTGGAAATGTGAAGTTAGATGGTAAAATCCATTGTTCTCTATGTCTAGGTTTTCATAATAAGACACTCTGGGGCTGACCAAGCAGATGTTCTCAAAGACTAACTATTTAATTATCATACTGACTATTGTGTGGTATCTTTAGGACAGCCACAACACCTTCTTTGAGGAAGACCTAGATACATTTTTTGTTAGTAATCTGACTTGTATTGAAGCAGTTTTCTAATTTTAAGTGCATTTGGCTTCCTTTGTGGCCTGTGGAAGAGTGAGTCTGCTTGTACTTGTGAACATACACACACACTTAGTTTGTCTCTCCCTCTCCCTCCCTCTACCTCTGTCTCATGTGTATGTGTGTGTGCATGCACACACACACACACAAACACACACACACACTGATCCGGCAACCCAAAAGTAAAAGCTATCCAGAAGACTTTTGGATTCTCCAATAGTCTGAAGAAGAAGCAGAGAATGTGCTGAAACAAAAAATTTAAGCAAGGCCTTGTAACTCATGATCAAATTTGTGTACCAAATTTTGCTCTGCTTGGTTGCCCAGGAGGAATTTAGTGTATCATGTGGCACTCACATAGAAAGTGTTCATTTGCTTGGATGTCTATATACTGTTGGTCTAGAAAAAGTTCCACAGTTTCTACAAATATGACCAGTGTCCAGAAGCCCTTCCTGAAAGAACAGGGCATTGCACATCTGTGAGCTGGTGCGTGGCTTTGTCCCTCCCTGGACAATCTGCCCTTTTCACTGGTTTCCCCATGGAATTTTTCACTTTGGGCTATCACTGGACCAATCTAAACATCACTTTTCTTATCTTTATCAACCAGGGAGAGTGAATTTTAGGTAGAGCCGCTTTAGGTTGTAGGCACCTCTCACTGCAGCCATGTTCCTGCCCTGGGGGCACTGTAACTTTCCCAACATTGGGATGACAAGCTTTCCAGGCCCCACTTCAGGAACCCCAGGGAGGGGTCTTTTTGTAATTTACAGCCAGTGGGCTAGATTAAGTTTTTATCAGGCTGTGGGATTGCCTTACACAGCCCATTTGGTTGGAGTTGGGGAAAGACTGCCTCGCAGTGACGTTCTAGCTGCACATTCGGGCAGCAGTAAGATCCTCGCCCAGACTCAGGTGGCTGTGTCCTAAAGCTTTTCTCCCCCCTCTGAGGATAGCAGGAGTTCAGTGGTTGAACTTTTTACCTCTGTACCCACTCTTTATCCCTGCTTGAGATCCTGCAAAGCAGGAAAATATAAAAGGAAGAGGAGAGGTTATAAGCACACAAGGAACCAGCCCTGAACATCTCAGAGGGCGTTTTATTCAGTAGGTGGTACAGTGGGTTTACGGAGGAACATCCCTGATTGTTTTAGCCCAACAAACCCATCCCACAGACTGAAGCCACTGAGAACACTTATAATCGCTAGTGCTCTCTGAGCCATCATTTACTATTATCCAGGTCTTTTTATACTTTATGTGCTCTCAGGACTTCACATGGAATTCCCATAATAACCTCTAAGATAAATAAATTGGCTCCATTTTATAGGTAAGGAAACTGAAGTTTAGAATGGCTGAATAATTTGCCCAAAGAGTAAAGTCATGGAAACGAAACTGGAACTAAGGAAGCTTGCAGTGTTGGTGTTTGGGGCAGGACACCATGGCTGGTCTCATGCCAGTTTTACCACAATGAGTACTTCCTGTTGTCCATCACACTCCTCCCCGACCTCCATGTGCACATCTGCCTGGTGACCCATCAGTCATTGTCATCTGAGAGGACACCTCCATTCACCAGAATGTAGTTCTTCTCATTCACACCACTGAGAGTTATGATTTGCATGCTCTTTCATTTTTGGCTAGGTTGTCTTTTTCCTCACTGGTAACATTTCTTTCCCTTTGACCCCCAACAGACATCTCAGCCAAGCCCTGGTGGTCAGTCTTCATGCAGCAGCCAACAGTCCCCCATCAGCAACTATTCCAACAGTGGGCTCGAGCTTCCTCTGACTGATGGAGGTGGTGTAGGAGACCTCAGTGCCATTGATGAAACCCCGATCATGGATTCAACCATTTCCACCGCAACCACGGCGCTTGCTTTGCAAGCCAGGAGAAACCCGGCAGGGACCAAGTGGATGGAGCATGTCAAACTAGAAAGGCTCAAACAAGTGAATGGAATGCTTCCTCGACTGAACCCTATTCTACCCCCCAAAGCCCCTGCCGTCTCTCCTCTCATAGGAAATGGTAAGTTCTGTGATCGATAACATGTCCCTTCAGAATCATCTGCTTTCATGCAGCCAGAACAGTGTGAAAAATCAGGCCTTGGTTTTTATCTTTGCAGCTTTCTCCACTAGTCCTAAAATTATGTTATAAGCACACATTGTAACACTCTCTTTCCAGAGTTCATATTTAAAAAGTAGGTAGGAGCAGAATAATAGTGAAACAAAAAGTAAGACTACATGCATGATTCAGATGCTGATGGTGAAATCATGACAAAAATCCCAGCAGCAGAAGCATCTGTGGCCACTACCTGCCTCTGGCTTCCACAGTCAACAAGCAGGAGCTTGGTAGCCATCTTGACTGATGTTTGTCTTGTTCAAAGAAAGACAAGCACTTTTCCATCGCCAGATCCAAGTCAGTTCATGCTTCTGAGGTCACACTGAATATCTGGAGCACTTCTAAGGGTATACCTTAGAAACCCCAACTTTGTAGAATGTTCCTGAATGTGGATATGAAACTCCTTCAATGCCTTTGACCTGTTCAATTGCCTGTAACTTGAGCCCTGTGTATGTTCCTTCTTTTCCCATCTACCATTCCTGTGAAGAAGCTTAACTTGGTCAGGAAGTTGTTAGAGTTCTGTCTCAGCCAAAGGTATGCAAACACCCAGGTAGGCATGGGCCTTGCTACTGCTCTTGTAAATAAAGTTTTATTGGCAGCAGCCCCTCCCACTTCTCTATGACTGTGGCATTTGGCCACTGCACCACAAAGATGGTTGTGGGTCATTGAGGCAGGAATCATCCAACCTAGGGAAGCCTAAAATAGTTGCTGCCTGGCCTGTTATAATTGCCACCACTAGCTAGCTGTAAGTCATCCTGAAATGAATCCATCTCTCTCATTCTTTGTCCTCAGGCACACAGCCCAGTAATAGCTGCAGTTTGGGTGGGCCCATGACCCTCCTCCCGAACAGAAGCGACCTTTCTGGGGTGGACATCACCATGGTGAACATGCTCAACAGGAGGGACAGCAGCACTAGCACCATCAGCTCGGCTTACCTGAGCAGCCGCCGCTCCTCAGGCATTTCGCCTTGTTTCTCCAGCCGGAGGTCCAGCGAAGCCTCCCAGGCCGAGGGGCGGCCCCAGAACGTGAGTGTAGCCGACTCCTACGACCCCATCTCCACCGACGCCTCGCGCCGGTCCAGCGAGGTCAGCCAGTGCGATGGTCTGCCCAGCCTGCTTAGCCTCACGCCGGCCCAGCAGTACCGCCTGAAAGCCAAGTATGCAGCTGCCACTGGCGGGCCTCCACCCACCCCACTGCCCAACATGGAGAGGATGAGCCTGAGGACCCGGATGGCCTTACTCGGAGACGCCCGGGAGGCCACAGGGACGCTGCCTCCTGTGCACCCTCCCCGCAGATGTAGCGATGGGGGTGCCCACAGCTATGGCCGGCGCCCGCTGCTGCCCCAGGATGCGCTGGGCAATGGTGTGAGAAGAGCCAGCGACCCGGTGAGGACAGTGTCAGAGAGTCTCTCCCTGCCCAGGGTGCCGAGGTTCAGCAGCCTTAACAGCTTCGGCCCTCCGGGCTTGCCTTCATCCCTGGACAAGCGTAACTTAGTACTTCAGAATTATACTCGGCCAGAGGGTGGTCCATTCCGCCACTTCCACTCATCTCCCTGTCCCCCCAGCATTACTGAGAATGTCACCCTGGAGTCCCTGAGCATGGACTCTGATGTGAACCTGAACGATGAGGATTTCTTGCCCGATGATGTGGTGCAGTATTTAAATTCCCAGAACCTAGTAGGATATGAGCAACACTTCCAGAGTGCCATGTCTGATGACAGCAAAGTGCCCCATGGGCCTGACTTGGGGAGTGGCCATGGTGACCTTGACCCATCTGGGCTGCCAGATAACCATGCCAGCCAGCAGTACCGTGGGCTGGAGCAGCCCAGCACCGAAGCCAACAAAAGTGACCTGCCCATTCAGTGGAACGAGGTCAGCTCAGGCAGTGCAGACCTGTCCTCCTCTAAGCTGAAATGTGGCCAGCGGGGCCCACCACAGCAGGCTCGAGCCTTTGGGTTATACAACAGCATGGGCATGCACCCACAGAGTTCCTTGAGGAATGGGACTGGCCCAGCTGGGGGTTATCAGACCCTTGGGGAGCATGGCAGCTCTTACAGTGGTCCAGAACACTTGGTGAGCCAAACTGGCAGCACTGCCCCCAACGGAACCGCTTTCCATGAACAGCCCTATAAGACCCAGCAGTATGGGAGCTACCTCAATAGACAGCCAGGGCTCCCCGGCTCACTCGATGGTGCCTGCAGTGCTGGGATCCAAGTGTCAAAGCTGAAAAGCACCACCATGCAAGGAAACAGGAGCCAGCCAGACTTTGGCCTGCTGGTGGCACCAAATGAGTCCACTGGCAGCACAGTAAGCGGCATGCTGACCCAAGACCCGGTGGGGCAGAGGTGTTTGGCTCTTCAGCTGCAGAGCGACAGCATGCATCACCAGGGGGCAGGCCGCCCAGGTCAGCAGATGCTAGGGCAGGTTAGTGCTACCTCACACATCAACGTCTGTCCAGGGCCAGAGAGCGGCCTTCCAGGGCCTCCCAGCATCAGCAGCCAGCCATCCAGCTTGGCAGTTATCAGGGGCTACCAACCGTGTGCCGGCTATGGGGGCAGCAGGCGCCAGGCTGTGCCAAGGGGTGGTCTTACTCTGCAGCAAGGACAGCTCAGTGACACAAGTCAGACCTGCAGGGTGAATGGCATCAAGACGGAGATGCAAGGGCAGCCCCATCCGCTCTGTTCCAATGTGCAGAGTTACTCTGGTCAGTTCTATGACCAAACCATGGGCTTCAGTCAGCAGGACGTGAAAGCTGGCTCGTTCTCCATTTCCGAAGCTAGCTGCCTGCTGCAAGGGACCAGTGCCGAGAACTCTGAGTTACTTTCCCCAGGTGCTAACCAGGTGACAAGCACAGTCGACAGCCTCGACAGCCATGACCTAGAAGGGGTGCAGATTGATTTTGATGCGATCATAGATGACGGGGACCACGCCAGCCTGATGTCAGAAGCCCTGAGCCCTAGCATCATTCAAAACCTTTCCCATAGCTCCTCCCGCCTCACCACCCCGCGAGCGGCGCTCCCGTTGCCAGTGCTCTCTGTCAGCACCACCAACATGGCCATCGGGGACATGAGTTCTTTGCTGACCTCCCTCGCGGAAGAAAGTAAATTCCTTGCAGTTATGCAATAGGTTTTAGGAAGAAAGGACTGCCAACAGACGTGAAACTTTAGGAGTTTAAAAGATTAAATTGACTTTTTTTTTTTTTTTTTGCTGGTTTATGTTTTTAGTTCTGTATGTATTTTAGTATTCTCATCTCACCTAACTGGGATGTGTTTCAAGTATATTCCTTTTATGGAAAAGGACTCTGCAAAACCCTAAAGTGTTCTAGGGAGAAACTGTCTTTCATTTCAGTTTTCAATCAGTATTGTTACACGAACCACCCTTTTTTTTTTTTAAACTGTAAGCCCACTCTTCCCTCCCCCTTTAGTAAACCAGTGTAAATGTGTACTGTGCATGTTCTTTCTTTTTTGAAGGAGAGGGGAAACTCAAGAATCGGCATGTTTCTCTGTTACTCAAAGGAGGCAGGAGTTACTGTGCTTACGACCAACAGGTTACACTTCCAGCTTTTCAAACTTTCCTTTGTGTGCGCTCAACATTTGTTTTGTTTTGTTGAACTCCCACATTGGGCACAAGAATCCGAATATAGAGAGAGAGTTTGACTCTTGTGAGTGAACTGTAGTGTAGGGAACAGACTGTCGGCACGGTTCCCAGCCCTAATTCAGATCAGGACATACTTTCCACAGTTGCAAACAGTGGAAACCTCGGGCTCTTGCAAATGAAAATGTTTAAAAATTTTTCTGTCCCATATGCTTTGGGTGGTACGACTATATGGTCAGTTCTCAGTTATCTAGATTGCCACCTCTCCATCTAATGTGAGCGCTCAGTGCTGCTGGGGAGAGGGGAAGGCACTTGGTAACACTCACATTGCTACTTTCATCTGTTCTGGTAAGAAGTTAGTAGATTATAGATCAAAGCTATTGGGTAGAATTAGTTTGGGGAATATTTGTGGGTTTTCTGTATTTGTTGATTAGTTTCATCTCTTTCTCCATTATCATCGATAACTGAGAATTGATTATTTATAGTTCTAAGTATATAGGTATTTAAATAACCCACAGCCGGCCATGTCATTAGCCTGGATTAATTCCACTAGGGTAAACGAGTACGTCTGTTCTAAGCATCCTATTCTAAGGGACTTACGAAACTCAGTTTGAAAAGGAAAAGCTCACATACGATGACCTTTGAAGTAAATTTCTTCACCCATCTTCAGTGTTTGAGAGCACAAGTGAGGATGCTTAGAAGCTGTGTTGATGCCTTTTTTATTTTCACCTCCTATCTGTTAAAGTTGAATTCACTGAAGAATTAAATGTTTGATACAGTTAGTCCCTAATGTGGACTAATATCTGTAATTTTGTTTTGGATTAAAACATTTAAAGATTTAAAAATATAGGCCCTTCTCATGTGCAGTTGATACACATAAAAGACATACTATGTGTGCACAGAGTACATGGATTATCCAGCATTTTACTTCTAAAAACATGTAAACTATTAAAATAAAATATTAACATCTCAAACTACTTGCTGTATTCTGTCCCCTTAACCCTGGAGTTGGAGTTATCCAAAGTGATTCATGATCAATCGTGTGAATTTTCTCCCTTGTTCCTATTTTAATAGTATTAGACAAAATCTGTAAATTAAAGTATTAGAAAATAGATTGTTAGGACTAGCCCTTTTTTCTCATGTCTGCGTTCTCTTATTTGGACCAAGACTCTCAAAGTAGAGGTGAATTTGCCCTTTGAGGCTTTGAGGCTTAGAGAGTTGGGTTTGCTTTCACTTCGGTGCTCCTGAGCTCAGCAGAGGGGTGCCGAGAAACCTTCACCTCTTCCTGCCATTCTTCCACCACACAGCCTTCTAAATCAAAGGATGCACCCACTTTGGAACAGCCAAGAAGCTGAAGACAACTGCTGACCTCAGGGTAGTGGTGTCCAGTCGACCACTTCTTAACTGAAAAAGTAAGACTTGGTGTGTTTCTCAGACAGGTTACAATCTGGTCATACAATCTGTGGTTCACTCCTCAAATATCCTTTTTCCATGAGTGTCAAAATTTCCAGATCCTGATCTTAACTGATAACTGATACACTTCTATGGTTTGGCCCAAACCCTGTCTTCCTCTGAAAGGTCCCTTCCTGGATTTTTCAGTTACCATAACGCCCTGTGTCACCTGGACGCATGACAGATGGATGGTGTTTGGGCTGAGCGCTGCAGGCTTCTCCCTCTGTCCTCTCCTGTGTTCTCAGATGGCCCTCCTGGTTGACCCTTCCCTTACTTTAATCCTTTATATTTGTTTCCCTTGCTACTGTCTGTACACTAGCAGGAGACACAGTTCAGTTTAATATTTGTCTTTCCTCTATGCTATGGAAATCTCGGAGGAGAGAGAAAAGGAAAGAATTTAAGACTCTTGCAGGAGTTCAGTGACCTGTGATGACAGTGGATGGAAGCTCACTTGAGGCCACTTAGAAGTGTCCCATCTGGGCAAGGAATGGAGCCTTGGCATCTCCTGTGGCGGGACCGGCCATCTCTGCATGTCTCTCTCTGATCTGTGCATGAGGGAGAAGGTGCCAGCTGACCAGTGTCACGTCCTGCTTTTTAATAGAAGCTCATACACGGCCCTCTTACTTGAAGTCTGTGCTAAATACATTTCTGTCAAACCATTTTATTTTCTAAAAAAATCTAATGAGACTGCCCCTGCTCCTCACACATTGGCTCATCCTCTTGAGCTGGAGTTTTGATTCTTACGATGTATGTGCCTTATTTTATGTTACTCTTAATGGACACTAGGGACCAGTTGGCATTGCCCAATCAGAGCTCGAGGCTGTGGCCTACCAGCCCCGGTACCCGATTGTAGCAGAATATGAGCTGTCTTGTAACCTGGTTTCCTGTACTATTTTGAACTGATTGGAGGATGTTCTCTTCTGACAAGTTACTGTTGTGTACCCTGAAAATGTGTAAGATAAAATACAAGTTCATTTTTTCACCTTTTTTAGATTTTTAAAAAATAAAATGTGTAATCCTTTTTTAAAAGAAACACGTGTAAATACATTTAAGTATTGTAGGCAAAGCATTCGGATGTGGCCGCCTGGACCTTCCTGGACCTTCCTGCAGCTGCTGCGAGGCCCCTGCCCACCTCAACCCGGCTCCTCAGGGCCGCAGCCCTGCAGCCGCCACACTCGGTGGGACTCTGCTTTCAAACCACTTAGTCCTTTTGTAACAAAGAAAGAACAATGTTTCTTACAATGTCAATAAAAAAAGCTTTGTATTGAAATATTTATCAGGTTATTGATTTAATTCATAGTTGAATGAAAAGAGGGCCTGCTTTGGGAAACCCTCCTGTTTGAATCCAGCCCCCATGTTCAACAATGAATGGAGTCCTGCCCTCTCTGTTGCCCCCCAAAGCCCCCACTAGAAGCTGACTTCTAGGGGGTGGGGTGCAGCAAAGGAGAGGTCCTGGCTTTGCTGCTGGGTGCATGGCCACAGGGTACCACCCCAATTAACCAGGATTTTCTTCATTTTATCACTGCCAAATCTTGAAGGATGCAAACAAGGTTTAATGTATAACTTAGTGTGAACACACACACACATATATAATCCTCTTGTTTTAGAGACACCCTATTGTCCACTAATAGAAAATCTGACCTGCAAGGATCTGATTTGATGTGGCTTTAGTCACAGACTTCAGACAGAAATGGGAGCTATTTGTCTTATTTGCCCTTGTATTCATATATTCTCACTATTAGGCACCAAACCACTACAACAGGCGGCCAAAGGATTTGCCCCCTGTCCAAGTAGCCCCTGAGTCCCCGGTGCTGGGAGGGGCAGGTGGCTGGGCTGCTGGGCTCCGGTGTTGGGCAGTGTGGCCCTCGTGCAAATACGAGTGACCCTGCGCACGCGGAGGCAGAAGCACATGCCCAGGACCCACGTCTTGTAGGTCACTGAAGTGCCCCACCCTGCTCTGGGCAGGGAATCTGAGGGGATTCTCTGTGATTTCCTGGTGCAAGAAAATTTCCTCCCATAAATGAAAATTTCTTTATAGCCCCACATAAAGTATCCAAATGGGGGGGGGGATAAGAAAAGAAACTGAATTTAGGTATAAATTTCAGCTTATAAAGATGTCTGTAGTGAGTAAGTCCAAATAAGAGAAATGAGGCCAATAGGTAGAAAAAGGAGAGGGAATGATGGGGGAGGGGCTGCCCACGTGAAGGACAGGAGCAAACACTAGGAAGTTTGTGCAAGCAGCAGACAGGTCATGCTCAACAGCATTTTGAATAATGCCTCGTGGGAAGCAGACATGGAGGGAGCAGAATTAACATAAAATAGCTGAGCTGCACTGATCAAAGGTTTATTTTAACTAATATTTAGGATTCAAAGATAGTTTGCCTAAATAGGAACAGAAAAATACTAAAATAAAAAGGAAAAATGGACTTACTCCTAAAATGTATTCATCCTTTTCCAACTTCAAGACTTCCTTTTTCTTTCATGGCAGTTTTTCTACTTCATTTTTACTCTATAATATACCTACTATTCCCCATACAATCTGGATTCACCTTTCTTTTAAAACAAGCTATTTTGGGGGCCCTTCCTGGTGGCACAGTGGGTTAAAGCGCAGCACTATGAAGCTATCAAAGCCACTGCAATACAAGTTCGATCCCTGGACAGGGGGGTGACTTTCATGGTGCAGTGGACCTCTCCTGACCTCCCCCACCGCTCCCCTCAGCAGTGTACTTCAGTCAATCTGCCTGTTCTGCTCCCCAGTCTGTCTCTGGTGAATCCTCTCACCCCACCTCCCACTGCATCTCTAGCCTTCACTCCAGTTCGTTATGTATAAATAAATAAATCTTTAAATATATATATATATATCTTTAAAAAAATTCTCATTTTAACTAACTTAGACCTAGTGTATGCCTTCTCTATATAGTCACTCAACCTTATTATAGTTTTTTTTGAAATGCTGATGAATCTAAATTCTCTTGGGCTTTCTTTTTTACACACTGCTCAGCAGCCTCAGCCAACACTCATCCAACAGGGGCATGAAAGATGGAAACTTAGATTCTACAGATTTTCTCACCTGTCCCTGAATCTTCCACTTCTCACCTCATCACCGCCATCCTTCCTCATCCCCACAGATAGTCCTGTGGGGTCTCTGCCTTTAAGCAGCTAGTTTATAGAGGGGTAGATGACAGACAAAACTCACATTTTCTGACATTCATAGCACTGCCTGGACAGCAAGAATTTCATTCATATCTGTGACAGGGACTGGAAATGGAAGGTAGACAAAGCACAACATGTCCATTGGCTTCTGTCCAGTGTTGTTGGACAGTGTGCAGCAGCATGTCCC